ATATATATATATATATATATATATATATAGAGAGAGGGAGAGAAAGAAAGAGAGAGAGAGGAGGGATCCGTTTATTCTAGAAGTAAGTTTACCTAGACTTACTTCGTTCAATAACTCATGTTTTACATCAAATTTCAACGATCCAACCATTGAATTCAAAGTTCTTAATGCATAAATCAAATCAACAAATTAAAAAAAAATTGAAAATCATTTGATACTTCATTTCATTAATTCAAATTGACGGGTAATCATAAAATCATTTTATGCATTGATTTGAATTAATGAAACGAAGTATCAAATGGTTTTCAAAATTTTTTAAAATTTGCAGATTTGATCTATGCATTAAGAACTTTAAATTCAACGGTTGGATCATTGAAATTTGATGTAGAACATGAGTTATTGAACGAAATAAGTCTAAGTAGACTTACTCTTGGAGTAAATGAACCCCTCCTCATATGTATGTATGTGCGTGCGTGCGTGTGTGTGTTGAATTAAAGTTAACTAAGACTGTAACAGCCCAATTTTCACTGGGCCTTGGGCTCAATTCGTTGCCCGGAACAGGCCGTTTCAAAAGTGAAACGGGTCGTTTCGGAATAAAGATTTTGCCTAAAAACGTAGTTGAGAACGGGCCGTTCCGGTTGGAGAACGGGCCGTTCTGGTTTGGAGAACGGGCCGTTCTGAAACTGGAATCGGTCGTTCTGCTGGGATTGAGAACGGGCCGTTCTGGTTTTAAAGTGAATTTGATTGAACCACTTTTAATAAAATATTTACTCCCATAATATATTTTTTTATACAAAAGACTCGATTCTAAAATTCTATTATAGAAGATTAAGCTCAGTATTATAAAGTATTTTAGTTTGTAGAATATGTATATCACTAAAATTTATAATAAATAAATATTTTTAATGTATTATATTATAATTACAATTTATTATAAATATATTAATATACTCTTAAATATAAATTATAATTTAGATTTATAATAAATAATTTTATTTGAAAACAAATTTATATATTAAAATTTAATTTAATAATTAAGATCGATTAACGATAAAAAGAATAGGTTAAAAAAAAAATTAAAATATTTTTGTTGAAGAAAAGAGTCACGATATTATTGAATAAGGAGTGCTTCTAACATGAAGTTCTTTGATACATGTCTCAACCATGAAGTAGAAAATTTATCGATAATAGTAAGTTTTCTATCTTGTTTATATTTGCAAAATAGTCCTTATATTATATGCAGAGGCGAGGTGGCGGCGGAAGCACGGTGGTAGCGGAAGTGCCATCTCCTTTCACGGTGGTGGCAGGGGAGGCGTGACCTCCTTCGCGTGGTGGTAGCAGAGGCGCGGGCTCCTTCGGGTGGTGGCAGCGAAAGCGCAGCCTCGTTTGCGCGCTGCAGCAAAATCGCAGGCTCCTTCAAGCGGTGGCTTCGTTATCACGGTGACAGTGGAGGTGTCGTTTCCTTTCACAGTGGTGGCAGGGCGATGTTCAACTCTCTCAGGGCCTCTCCTTCGCCTTCTCCGCCGTCAACTACATTCACTATGACCAAAACCTTGCCACCTCCAAATTCGGCCTTCCCCACCCCTGGCTCGCCCTAGATAGCCTCACTGTCGCACTCGCCGCCGTCATCTTCCTCGTCCTCACCACCGGTGTCGTCTTCACTCCTCTCTACAACATCGCCACTAGCCTCCTCTTCAGCCTCCCCATGCCCATCCAGCCCATGAATTCCATCACTGCCATCACCATCGCCATCTCCGCCTCCCCACCCCTCACCATCCCCCAAATCTCTACCACAGGCCTCTCCTTCGTCGTCGTCGTCCTCCTCCTCCTCGACGTCACTGGCCTCATGTCTCTTCTCTACCACTACCTCTCCCTCCCCGTCGTTCGCGGCGTTCAACTCTCTCAGGACTTCTCCTTCGCCTTCTTTACCGTCAACTACATCTGCTACTATCAAAACCTCGCTACCTCCAAATTCGGCCCTCCCCACCCCTGACTCGCCCTCGACGACCTGGCCGTCGCACTTGCCACTATCATCTTGCTCGTCCTCACCACCAGCCGACGACCACCCCCCACCCTCACCACCACAAGAAAACCAAAACAGCAACCCTCTCAAATTCTATATTTTTACACAAGGACTAATCTGCAAAATACAAAAATAAATATTTTCAAGTTACCGGTTACAAATCTAAACCGTTGATTATTATAATATTAAATCTAATGAAAAAAAATAATGTTTCATTCATGTACCACATTTTTTTGCTACTTTATATTAGAATTTTCCTTGAATAAGAACTCAAATAATCATTATATTAATGTATTTTTTGTTCTTCACGTATAGTACCAAATGATCATTATATTAATGAATTTTCCTTGAATAAGAACTCAAATAATCATCATATATATATATATAGTAGTTTGAATTTATTTGAGTAAAATTTGAAAAGATAAGCTTATGAAAACATTTTAATGTTATTATGTGTAATTTCAATTTCAATAATGGTTAGAAAAAGGTAAAAAGTCCACCTTGGACGCACATAGTATTATAGTATTAGTAAGGTGTAATTCAGCGCACAAGACACGGATTGTTATCCCAACGTTTATCCTTTCACTTTCAGCTCAGCAAAACAAACTGAGCAATGGCGGTTCTGATCCGCTGCTCTTGCTTCCTCGCACGCCCTCGCTTCTCACAACCTCAATTCTACGCCAACAACCCCAAACCCCTACTCCCAGGTCAGTTTTCTTTCACCCCTCTTCAAATGCATGTCAAAATCCTAACTTTCATCATGTTTGAGCTTTGAAAACAGTGTTTTTGTGTCTGTGAAATCTGTGACAAAATTTAATTTTTTCTAATGAATCAGGAAAACTAGCTTGTCTTTCTCTGAAACCGGACAGCCGACGACCACCCCCCACCCTCACCACCACAAGAAAACCAAAACAGCAACCCTCTCAAATTCTATATTTTTACACAAGGACTAATCTGCAAAATACAAAAATAAGTGTCACAAAGACTCCTTGTCCTTCTATTCAACATGATTCAAAATTGTTTGGTTTAATTCATTATGATCTTACTGATTTAAAACCAATTATGTCTAGAGGTGGTAAAAATTACTTTATAACTTTTATAGATGATTACTCTGGATATACTAAATTTTATCTTTCTAGAGATAAAGATGAAACTTTTAATATGTTTTTATCTTATAAAGTTGAAGTAGAAAATCAACTTAATAGAAAAATTAAAAGGATAAGTCTGAAATGGGAGGTGAGTGCACTTTGTTTAATAATTTCTATGAATGAAGGTATTATCCATGAAGTAACCACATCTTATTCGCCATAGTATAATGGAATAGTTGAAAAAAAGAATATAAGTCTTAAGGAAATGATGAATGCTTTGCTTATTAATTCCTTTACTCTTAATAATCTTTCAGGGGAAATTCTTTTAATAGCTTGTTTCTTGGTGTACTAGAGAGTGTAGGGGTACTAGCAGGAGTGTTGTTACCTAATCCTAAAAAAAGAAAATAAGATCTAAGACTTCTAATTGCATTTTATTGGTTATGTAGAACATAGTGTTACCTATGAGTTTCTTGTCCTCAAAAGTAATGTTATTGAGTGCAATACTATCTTAGAAACTAAGAATGTTGAATTCTTTGAGGACATATTTTCTTTGAAGGTTAGAACCAATGCTAGTACTAGAGAAGATATTGATGATAGTTTTGAACAACCTAGTGAAGCATATAGTGAAGATATATGTAAAGGTATTAGAAGGAGTAAGAGACAAAAGAAAGAAAAATCATTTGGAGATGATTTTATTACTTATCTTGTTAATGATGATCCTTTGTTTGAAATAAATAATATGTAACATAATCATAAAATTAAGTTTTATTAAGTAGAAAAGTAAGTTCAAATACTTTTGATTTATTTGTTTTAAACTAACTATTTGAACCGAGTCATTTGTAAACTTGAATCCAATTGAATATGAACCGAAAAATAAGATTAGTTTAGAGGAAAGCTAGCAATACTTTCTCTAATATTTTCTTTCTATTAATTGCTCTTTTTAAAAAAAAAATAATAATAAAAAAAAAGTTCTGATGGTTTTTTCTCTAAATTCACAGAGGAATTAATTAAATGAAATGTGAAATTCACTAAAAAAAAATTATTTTAAAAAAATATAAAGAGTTAAAATAGAAATTTTGTGATGCTTGTATTTTTTTTACATGAAGCTAATTACATCGTAATCCTTAGGTATCTGTGGATTTCCTTTAACATAAGATGACTACCATGCATGAAATGTTTAAAGGAAACAAACCACTATTATCTAGGATCAAAATTTCATTATTTATGTGTTAATTACTACTGATCCTGGCATCAATTATTTGAATCTGTTCAGTCCCTTCAATGTGTCAAATTTTTTGTTCCACTTTTTCTCACCAGTAACATTTTGATTATTCTACTGCACAAAATGCTCGTTTTGGTTAGATGCCGAGTTTATTGTGCAAAACACGGGGACCGAATCTAGCCGTATGTGATGAGTATTGTACCACACATAATGTTCATACTGGAATCTCATTCTCAATTTAGATCAACAGATTAACTGTGTGACAAATTAGAAGCAGCGATAGAAACTGTAGCAATCATGTATATGAATTGCATAACTGTAGTGACTCACAAAAGTACAAAAAGAAGTTGTGTTCCTGCTTCAAACTTGTACCAGCTACAACTCATCGTGCTCTGCAATTACATCTGTCAAAAGAGGTTATCAATATGATAATGGAATTTGGAAAACAACCATCTTAGTTGCTTTTAAAAAGGATGCTTATACTAGCAAGTTGATCCATAATATGAGTATGTCAGGATGCTGATGTCCTTTTTTCCATTTTCTTTTGAAAAGACAACTATCTACCCATTATTCTATTACCATTAATTACAGAAATTCTTTAAGAAACAGGAATCTTAATAGAAGCTGATTGATAAGTAATAATTCCTTTCATCGTAAGATGATTGCTTGTTCCCTGTTTGCCCATGTGGCATCTAGGAGTCCATTAATGTACATTTTAAATGCCATCTGATTATATAACAAAGCTAACGCCTAAAGAGTGAATACTTTATTTATTTTTGCTTAAAATAGAATTTAAATTATTGACCTGCAGAGAGCTCATTGAAGAAAAATGGTATCTCTCTTTGTGCAGATTTGGGAGAGTCTGAACCATGAACCCCATTCTTTTGCATATCCAATCCACATTTTGCTCTGATACTGCACAAAATAGTAACAAGTTCACCAAAGAGATAATTAACACATATCATGACATCAAACTCAATAAAATTGGCCACCCGCAATGACACAGTCTAGGGGCTAAACTCTACATAAGTTGAACAAGTTATAAAGTTCACAAATCACAAGTGCAATGCAATGCAATTAGTAACATGTATGACCTGTGAGGGTGAGTAATCTTAGCCTTGCTTGCATCTGTAGGGCCCATTAAAGCACGCCAATCAGCAATAGCATTATCCTTCTCCAAGACCATAACTAACACCGGTCCACTGATAATCGTTTTGGAGAAGCAGAAGAGGAAATTTAGGATAATACAAGACTAACAACCATGCAGAAAGGAAAGTTAATGTCAAATATGATTAAAATAATTAGTGATGAACCATTAACATCCACATTCCACAGTATTGTACGGGAGAAATTTCTCAATCTCAAGTACATAGTCAAGGTGACAAATCATCTAGTTTATTCTATAATGACTTTAAACAAGAAAAAAGAAAAGCTACAATCTCCCAACTTCTCTATGTGGTTGGTACCCTATATTATAGCATGTGTGCTTAATCAATTAGTAATACAAAAAAATCCCCTCTTAGGGTAATCCTGTATTCGGTAACTTCAACTTTGCTGACATGCATGAATTAACGAAACATAGCTAAATTCAGCCTTCATCTTCACCAACTTCTAGCATATGCCACAACAAATGAATAAAAATTAAAGAGATAAGGGAAAATATTACCATTAGCAAGCAAATAAAACTGGAATAAGGAAATCCAACAAACATCAATATAACGAGGTTGACATAACAGCTCAAGAAACATTATATACCATCATCATACATTAAGACAATCATGGGAAGGGGATACCTCATACCTTGTCATGTATTTTATAAGGCTGGAAAAGAAGCTTTTTGAAGAGTGCTCAGCATAAAAACTTTTCACAGTGGCCTCATCAAGTTGAACAATCTTTTCCTTAAAAATTCTGAAACCATATTCTACAATTGTTTTCTTAATATCATCTGTGTAGTTACCAAGCAATCCGTCTGGTTTTATAATTGCCAAGGTTTTCTCCGTTTTAATATTTCCATCGGTAGAAGAACTGCAACTTTGAAAAGATCACATCGTGAATTTACATTTTTCATTACTTGTCCAGTTTTAGGTACATCAATCTGAAATTGCACACACATAGATGTACATGTAGATAACCTCTAAATCTGGAAACAGTTTTTTTTTTTTTTTTTTTTTTTTTTTTTTTTTTTTTGTGCTTGGCATCTGGAAACAGTTATTGCAGAGACTAAATAATAAAAAAAAAATTCAACAATTTGATAAATGCAAAACATGCACGAATCTCCAGCATCAAAATCAATTACCCTTGCCGCAATAATTGCTACTCAAGTGTTATTAATCTGATTCATGCAACAAACATTACTAGAGAAATGAAAAAAGAAGTTTAGAAATTTCATTGAATTCAGTTGCGAAAAAGACGAAATTTATAGACATGGAAACAAAAGACAAAAATGATAGGTTAATGTTATTTGACTAAGTTGACTGATTAGGCAATTAAAATGATTTGAAACCCTAGCAGTAGCAGTAGCAGTAAAGTGAAGTGAGAGCTTACCAGACGAAAAGAGAAAGCACAAGTATTGTTGATCCAACAAAAGGGGGTCTCATTTGAAGAATGAAACTGAAAGAACGAACAACAATCACAAAATGAATGTATGTTGGAAACATTGAGACCTCATACCTCGTACCTCAACTGCTCAACAACAACGACTTCCCTCCGACCCAACGTCAAACCTCAATACAACACCAACATCGGGAAATATATTTTATTAGATCAAAGGAAAATAACAATTTATTGTAAAAATATTTTTATTTGGATTCTTATGAACTAAAATATATATATATATATATATATATATATATATATATATATATATATGTATATTTATACTTGCATTATAATGCACACATTACATTATAGAATACATGAAGATGTTTGCATAATTTCCTGAATAGCATGGCATCATTCTTATTCTTGCCCTTAATTTTAGAAACCGAAAAAATTGAAACTCAATCTTAGTTGCAGAGTTTTTTCTTGTTAAAATAAAGATATTAAATTCTCTCAAAATTATTAAAAAATATATATATATATATATATATATATATATATATATATATATATGTACATTTCGACTTGCATTATAATGCATGGGATAAAATTAATTTTAACTATCTAACTTTCTTTTGTGCTGCTATTTAAAAAAATTAATTGGGATAAGATTCATGGATAATATTTTATTTTATAATGAAAAGGCTCATAGGATATATGTATACACATTTTTTAATTATTTTTATATAAACATTTCATTTTTTTACCATGGAATTTTCTTGTCTTAACACGATGTAAATAGGTCTGTTTGATTATGAATAAAAAAAATGAGTGAATAGAAATAAGAAAAAAAATTGATGACATTTTGAGAAAAATATTACAAAAATGTTTGATTTGAATAAAAACATTATATTAGAAATTTAAAATATTAAAAATTTTACACGTTTTTAACAAAATTTATTTGATTATACTGTGTTTTTTTATTTTATTTTATGAAAGTTTAAGTGAATTAGATTTTTGGAGACTCATTAAAGATAGAACAGGTCTTAAGACTCTATTAACACTTATTAAAATACTTATAGATTATTCATCAAGAAATTGATCACATTGATATAAATTTAACTCACTTTAATATAAAAATTTTAGAAAGTCAATCTAACTATAAGAATGAAAGTAATATAAACAAAATTTTGAGTCAAAACTTTATTAGCTTAAATATAATATTTATTAATCATAAAAAAATTGAATAATATTTATAAATATCATTACAGTAAACCCGATTAACAAAGATGTAAAATTGATTAACACCAAAATGTGTGGGTTAATTTGGGAATTTTCTCTCTCCTCACCAACTACAAACAATTCAATCCTCATTTTCACTCGTATTAGCATAAGTAATTTGGTCTAGTGATCTAGTATTGATTAATTGTGGAAAATTACTTTCTCCATTTTCTTTTATTTGACATTTAAGGTTGTAACTAAACTAAAGAATTAAAAATACAATATTTTTTTTTTTATATATAAATATTATTACATGATTTTTTTATTATGTACTATTTATATCTCATATTAATTAATTAATAATAAAAACGCATAATTAATTATTAAGAGTGAAATTGAAAGAAAAAAATTGGTCATTAATTGTAAAATGAAAATGAAACAGAAATAAAGAAAAATACAAAACTGTCAAACAAAAGGGATGGAGGGAGTATTTGTTAAATTAATTTATGTCTGGTTAATCAAAATACAAACTAGAATTTTAAAACATATATAGCGTTAATTATATTTGCATTTTTACTCACAATATGTAACGATTTAATTAAAAATTTGAATTAAAGGTAAAAAAAATTACCTGGGAAATTCTAAAAATACGTGAGGGATTTGATTTGATTTGGTTATTTTTAATTTATGATAAGTTATGATTAAAATATTACTTAAATAGCTTTAAACTATACGTTATTTACATGCTATTAGTTGTTTCTTGAAAGGAGGAAGATATTTAGTAAGATGAAACATCATGATATCATCACTGCATCCCTGTCTCAAGACTAGTGTTATTATTAAGTTAGAAATTCGTTAGCTTATGTTATTTTATAATTTTTTTACCTTGAAACTTTTTATTAATTAACTTTCATCATACTTGTAAATTTTAATCAAAAAATTATTTAATTTAAATGATGTCATATTTTTATTTACTTTACATTTAGTTGAAGATACCTTGATTACACCAATGTTATTTAAGTCAAAAATCGTTCATAAAAATATTTAATTCTACCATTGAAAGTAACAATAAGCATGAGGGAGGTTTTGCTTCTCAGATTTGCTGAGAACTGAGATTTACGCAATTGCCAAACCCCACCATTATTGTGTTTCTTAAATGAAAAGAAAACACAAATCCACATGGGAATAAAATAGTAAAATTAGTTTATATCTGATTATTTTCCCATTTTTCATAGTTTAGACGAGGAATTGAGGGAATATAAACAAGTATAAGCTGCAAACATGACAGCACAAGAGCTTATATATATAATATATACCTTGTTAACATTTGTAATATTAAACAGATTTTGTATGTTTAACTTAAGCATATACATAATTTCACTACAAACAATCACAGTCGCAGAGCTCAATACAGCATTTGATTAACTCAAAACATGCGAGGGCTGCACAAAGTTGAGTGCAAACGATGGTGCACTTGTCATTCATAAAATTGCAAGTCTGCAGCAGACACATGCCACAACAGTTATCAGCCAATCGACTGCAACAAGTGGAAGCAGCCTTCCCCAGTAGTCCTTCAGGTGGTTTTGCTTCTTTTATAGCTGGTGCCAAGTTCTCAGCAGTTGCTTTCACGTCTCCAAATCCAAGACTCCACCCTCCAAGGAATAACTTCTGGATGTTGTTCATTTCCAAACTCTGGAAGCTAAGCTTCTTGTATGCCTGTTTTGTAGGAATGTAAGTATTTCAGTTCAGACATATTGTGCTGGAACTATTATGATACAGTATTTTACGAAGTGGATCAAGGTAAAAATTTGTCCTTATTTTTCTTAAATTTAAGGCAAAGGTGTACCTTTTGTAACAGAAATTGTTCAGGTGCCTTCTTCCCTTCATCACTCTGTACAAGAACCATGCTCATGCAGGTATACTCTGACGGGACTTTATTTTGAATGCTCATTTTAGAAACCTATAAGAGAGCAGTTTGGCATTTGCTTATAGACGAGCGTGTAGCTAAACACAAAATATACTATAAACAATGGAAAGCATATCAAAATAAAACTATATTAAAGTGAAAATGCATATTTATCCCTGCTTATTGGCTGATTTTAGAACTAGAGAGAAAGTTGAGCAAAAACTTATATTTAACAAAGGATTAAATTAAAAAATTGGTTCTTATACTACACGCCGTTTTTTGATTAGATTCCTATAAAAATGTTTACATTTGGGTTCCTACATTAAAGAAAGATGTAATAAATTGATCCTTACCAATTATCAAAGTTATAATACTGTTAAGATTTTGCTGAGTTGACAAACTTCTATTGCGTGGTTCTCAAGTTATCATGCAGGACAAAAGTTTGTCAATCTAGCAAAATCTAGTACGGTTATAACTTCAGCAACCCATATGGATCAATTCGTAAACATATTAGAATATTTTCATGTAGAGTTTAAAAGAAATAATGATAACAATTATCAATTTTCAATTTAACATTAATAATATATCACACTTAGATAGCAGACATGTTTTTTTTCCCAAAACATTTTTCCAGTTCAGCACTATCCAGCGGCAGCCCTCCTTTCCTGCAACTCTTTCTTGAATGTTAGTGCGTAAAATCAGTGCCACTTTGTTTGAAATAAATGACTTAATGTAACCTGGTCTCCTTAAAATTTCCATTTTCACCTTTTTAAGTTTCTTTTTCTCTTTCAAAAAGAAATTTAATATGCATAAAAAATACATAATAGACAAACCTTCTCCTCCAGCTCTTCACTTTTTAATAACCAGGCTTGAGCAGTGACCAAGTCTATATGTCTCTTTGAAAGAACCTGGAGAGAATACCAAAATTTATATCAAACCACATTTCAGTGCATAGTCGAGTATGCATTCAGCAATCAACCTATTTAAAGGATCTATATTTCAAATGATTCTATAAAGTGTTGAGTGACCAATGGAAGTAAAGAGTGAAGCCAACATAACAGCAGCATAGCATTGCATATGATATGTTAATACCATGTATGCATATTGAGTTCCCATTTGTTAAGATGGGATATATCACAACCAGATATGATGATTAGGTGGTAAGTTAAGCCTTAGGAATGAGATATTACATTACTGAGCTGAATATCCTTTTCTCTTTTCATTTTAAGGTCTACTACGAAGTTAGTCATATCTGCCAAAGTACCGGTGACTTTAACTGATTGGGGAAAAGTTCCACTGTATCTGCCTGATAGAATCAACGGACTTCCAAATGATAGATCTTGTATATGAGTTGGGAATAACTGCAGTAATCAGAATATAGTGTAAACATCAAATAGATGTAACGTGTAAATGTGATCTTTAAGTAAACTATAGTGTATCATTAGAGCATGTTTCCAATTATAATTGAGGATAAAACTTTACTGGATATGTACCTCATATGAATCAAGACCTTCTAAACCTTCGATTGTTATATCAGCAACCGTAACCGATGAAGCTGTACTGAACAGCCTTTGCATTCTAAAGTCGATTGCATCTGGACAAGATTTTATTTTTTTTTAAAAGGAGATTAATAAAACTTAAAATATGTATGATTAAGCAACTTGTGTTTCCCTTGGGAATATAACTAATTGGCAACATTACGCAAAGGCTAAATAGTTGACTTTCGGTGGCAAAGTAGCCCCAATCATACAGCCAACACATTCGAAGTATAAAAACTTAAGATATTCGAAGAATAAAAAAAAGCACTCAATTTGCTAGTGTTTTAACTAGATTTTATGAGCGGGTCATGTCTAAAAGTGTGGGAGAGTGTGGGCTTTCACTTTTCAGCTTGACAAACTTCAACAGTTCAACTTGTTTATCTATGGACATTTTTATTTTTTGTACTAGGATATCTTTTGACTTAGAGACTAATTCGTTTTTGAAGCGTTGAGATAACGGAAGTGAGCTTTGTTCATTCCAACAAAATCTTATTTATAATCATGGACAGAGCACGGTTAAGAAACCAAGTGCTGGGACCTTGACACTTTAAACTTATGAGTTATTTATGACTCTTCCTTCTCAATTTTATTTGTTTCAAACAAGATGTGGGATTTGTTTTCCAATAATGGCCTCGCTCCCCCATGTCTAGTTGGCTTGGCCGTAGCTGTGAATTATCTTCAATTGCTAGTCTGGGCTTGAACTAAGTTGGGACTTCAAAGGCCACAAGTCGTGCTTTTATTTACTGTCTAGGCATTTGCTTCTTTTCTTAAATTTTTAGATGCCTAACAAATCTACAACAAACTATCTAGTTTTATTGTTAGCTCACCTACAAAAAATTAATCCTAGAAACTCCACGTGCTAAATATTTTAAGATGTCTCACATGATATGTCCAGAATACTCCCTACAAATTTTGGACAATCCTATTTGCTTGAGCTAATTTTTGTTAGTCCCAATCTAATTCAATAGTTTTATGATTCATCTGCCTAAACACACTGATTAGCGTTATTAGGGACTTCAAGACAAATTACTAACAAGAAAGTTTAAAATTTGAGCCTCAAATTTACGCTAACGTCAAGCTGACCTAAATCATGAGCAAAATCATAGTGGCCCCTCCCAATTTGCGCTAGCATTTCCAGGAAGTAGTGGTTGCAATATAAACCTGAAATTTTCAAAATACGAAACAGATAAACAAAGTGTTGCAAGAAATAAAGTGATTAATATTAAATAATCAATATTGAACATTGGGACCGTCTATTTAAACTTAAAAGAAATTGTATAAATTTATTTTTAAACTAATTTCTTAAGAAACAGATAAAAATTGTTTCTTAAAAAAATAGAAAATTGTTTCTTTTTAAATAAACAGTTTAGACAGATACATAAAAAAAATAGAAAATTAATAGTTTTATTAAAAAAAATATTAAACAACTGATCCTATTATGCCAATTAGAAATATGATAAATAGAAGCTTCTACATTCAGACGGACAACATGGTAGTAGTAACAATTAACAAACCCAATAATTGGTAATTGGCAAATACAAATCTGTCTTTTAAAAAAAATGTTTTGGTTACAAAAAGTTTGGGTAGATGGGAGGTTACCCCATGGTCCATTCCAAGGTCAGGGAATCGTCTAACATTCAAACTGGTACTTCATAGATGACCTACGGATGAAAGTTCACGAGCAGAGTCAAACCCATGACCTTGTCAATATTGATCGACCGACCCTCATTTGCACCACCCTTTTTATTTGGTGCGTACATTCTCGATTTACTTTATTCTTGAAAAAAGTGGAAGCTATTTTCGAACACTCTCATCTTGACAAATTAAGCAGCATATGTCAAAGAAATCGTTTCTATCAGCTTAAAACATGCCAAAATTAAGTTTCAAAACATTTTTGGCTACTTAAAACATCAGCTGAAGTAAGCAAAACACTTATCAAAGGTTGAAGTGTCAAACAAACATTGCCAATTAATGATGTCACGTAAACTGTTTACTTAAGAGTATAAATAGAAGAGGAAGCTAGAATCCTTGCCTATGCCAAATGTACATATGCGTGGTGTTCGAACCAATTGCCCCCTTGATACATAGCTTGTCACAAAATTGCATATTTCTCTCTCATCGTCAACAGCCCCATCAGTAACGAGAAAAATAAGAGGGACTGAATCAGTTGATTTCTCAAGTAGCTTCATTGCCTATGATACAGCAGAATATTAAATAAAATATCATATGACAAAATGTACATATATAGGATTCAACATTCAAAAGTTTTACACGGGATACAAGTTATTAAACACTGCATAGAATGTGCTAGTCATTAAAAGGCAAATATACCATACCAGCAACAAATCTACCTTTTACCTTTACGTTTAACATTACAAGCAAATCAAACACAGATGCCAAGCCTGGAAGTCAGATAAGGCATATGATATTGTTAATCCAAGAAAACTTCTGAAGAGTCAAAGTGCGATGTACTAAAGATAAGGTGTTGACTTTTAGCCATTAATAAAAAATAATAATAATAAAAAAAAACAAAAAAAAAAACAGGTAGATTCCAAGACAAATGGGAGAATACAGAGTAAATAAGAAGGAACTAACTTTTGTTGGGTACAAATTGCTCAAGTGAATTTAACACTACATCCAATTCAAACTCTAACAATGTTAGATATGAGTCCTTCTCCTTCCAACTTATATGTTATTCGACTTATTCCTTTTTAACGAGGGACTTCTTCATTCACACTTATCACTCCAACCAATTTGATATATAAATAATAAAATCAAAGAGGTAAGATAATAAAACAGTAGCCTTAGGCTTTTCATCTCCTCTTCTTAGACATATAATACTTTCACTAGTGCAGTTGAATTGAGAAAACAAAATTAACAAAAAAGACTTAATTAACAAGCCATGAAATAAGAGAACAATGTTTTGCAAAGCACATTGAAAACTTCAACAAATAAGAATTACCTGAGTTAAGGGAAGCATGATATTAGTGTCACCATTAGCAATAAAATTAGTATCAACCCACTTGGTAGCATTCAAAATTGCTTCCTGTGTAGCCGTTTCCATTGATGACGAAAATAAGGATACCGCCCCATTGAAAGCTATAATGTTAAATGTATCTTGTGCATGTAGTTGAGAGAGTGATGTCAGAAGTGCATTCTTTGTGTTTTCAAGCGGACTTCCCTTCATGCTTACGCTTATATCTACTATAAACACCACATCCTTCTTAAAAACCTATCAAGTGACAGAATGCTCCATTCTAAATAAGCTTGAAAAGTAAAGGCAGCATGATCGAAAATTTGAAACATGCATGCACCTGTGTAATGTTGACCATATTATTTCTATCTGCCTTTGAACTAGTTGTGTTCCCTGACAATTTTCCGAGTTCCATATGATTCTAATTACTTCTATAAATATAAATTATCTTTCTACTTTAACAAACATTTATTCTGCCGGGTGAAACTGTCTTGCTCAGCTAAAATTAAGCAAAGAACAACATCTTATTTGTTCGTATATGAGAAAGAGAAATGGAGATAGCTTACACGCAAGCTGCAAGATAACCATTTTATGCATTCATGTTGCATGTATACACACAACCTTAAATACCTCATGTTAAAGTAATCCCAAGAAAATTTTAGGAAAAAATATATCACATATCTTAATATTGCAACAAACCTTTCCATCCTGGCTGTTTCCCGGGTAAAGATACAAGCAAAATATCTCTCTCTCATCAAAATCACGCAGGAATGGAGATTGCAAGAGAAGACCTCCAAAAATGTCATTTGAAGTAACCTGTGTGAAAGCACTAGACCATTAAGCTAATAATTTTTTTTATTATTGCAGAGAAATATTCTGGTCTGATTCTGAATGTCTATGGTTAATTAAGAATCCACTCCTTGTATGGAATTGCATTAAAAATTATTTTAATTGAATTCTATGCTTCAAGGTCTTACAGTGTACGAGAAATTGAAGTCTGTACTTGACCATTCTAGCACTTCTGCTTCATATAATAAATTTAATTTGCCGGCTTGGCGCAATAGTTCCTGGAAAATCGTAAAGATAATGTTTAGTTCAATTCAAATCTAACGGAAGCCAAACAGAACTTTGTAATAGCGCAATAGATTTTACCTTAAAAGGATGACTGGCGGTTTTGCATAACATTTCCGTTGCACCACCAGAATTGACTTTCAAAAATATCTTCTCTTTCTTAGAAATTCTTCTCCCAACAGGGTTGACGTAAGAGGGAAAGCTGAAAGGGACACAGACTGATAACTGACCATCATGAAATAAAATTTTCTGGGACCATTTGATTTTAATTGAGAAGACGGAGCCTCCCCTAAACTGCAAAACATAATTAATTTCTTAAATTAATAGGCTGTACACGTTAATAACTATCAAGTATCAACTCTAGTAAAATGTAAAACAAAAAAAAACTGTCAAGTATCATGTATCAACAATTAAGTTGTGTTTTGCTATGTGTGATGTAATAATAACCTGTGGAATCTTAATGGTGTATATTCGACTGTTCAAAAAGTATCCGTCTTTAGCTTTGGCCACTTTATCCTTATCCTTCTCATCTTTCAGAGAGATCAATTCAGTGTGGTAAGATCTTCCGGAACCATCAACCTCTAGACCTAGAAGTGAACCCTGTTAGCCACATCATATTAACTTGAGAACTCATGAAACAAACTGCCTATCAAGTTGCAGAAAAAAAATGGCATGCAATTTCATCAAGCATCATGACATAAATCTAAAAAACAACAAAACATTTCATGGTGTCCACAATCATGACTAAAATATCAAGGATGTAACAAGACCGACTAAGAAACGCAACTTAACCAGCACAAATGCATCTTGACGATTACGCTCGCAACACTTAAAACCCAATATCAATAGATTGTTAGGATGGCAGATATATTCATGTTGTCTAAACAAATGAGTCAGCGCGCTAATTATAATTGTATTAATTAAAAATTAATATTAATAATATAATAAATTTTAAATTGAGCCAGCCTAACACAACGAGACCCTTGATATGATTAACATGAACTTTATGAAATTAAAGTTAGTATATATGACATACATAGAGAAGAAATGAACTTTATGCCAGGCAGATGATATGATTAACAGGAACGGCTAAATTTATTAGGTCGTGACTAATAATCTCTAAATTAAATCATGAGTACTAGACTGATAAAAAAAAATTATGAGTACTAGTGGCCTTTCTTTCAGCTTCACTACAAGATAACAAGCATAAGCTGCAGAACTGAGCAAAATATCACCCACTAGAAAAGGACAAAAGGTGGGACATGCTTCGAAAATATTCTAAAAGTTATTTTTCACATAAAATACTAAATAATGCAGAATATTATGAGGATAGTTATATTAATAATCTTTAAAATTAACGTTAATTACACTTCACTTTACTTAACTAAAAATTATACCTAATTTCCTTGCATTTTCCTTATTTTATTATTTTAAAAATACTATGTCCATGGTTCGTAATTCGTATCTAAAAAATTAGTACAATTTTCTAAAAACATGTCGTCTCAACAAGTAAAAATAATATATAAAGTAAGGAAAGTAAGTATAATGTTTCAATCAAAATGGATGTAAACATCCTTAAATTAGAAGTTATTTACGATATCCGATAGATCAAATGACTTCGTGTTTGAGTATTTAACATAACTTGGACGGATCTAGGAGATTATTTATTTTAACTCAAACTTAATTTGATTAATTAAAACGAGATGTGTTGTAGGAATGAATTGGGTCATGTACCCCCCTTACATGCAAAATCCAATGCATGTCTCTTTTTTTTTATTATTAGGATTTTGTTTCTCTTTATAGCTATGTTAGCGTAAGAGTAATTGGCAAGACCGCAAAAATAATGATTTTAAAATTTATACAGAAGAAAAATAAAGAAAAAAATATACAGAATTCAAAATCAAAATCCATTGATTTTAATTTCAAAGACTAAAATCATATTTAGTTGATATGTTTTTAGAATTTAATTATCATGAAGTATGAGTATAAATATTTTTACAATATCAAAATAATTAAAAAAATATTATCAATATAATTTTAATATAATTATTATGAAAATTATCAAATTTATCATATATTAAAATGTATGATTAGATAATAGTATAGAAAATTTTTACATGATTATTTATCAGTACATGATAATTAATTTTGTATTTTAATTAATAATTACAAAAGAAAAACTTTAATTTTACATTTTCTTAATGCAATGAGTCAAAATATTTTTTTCAAAAATTTTAAATACAAAAAAAATGATATTTCTATTAATAATTACTGATATATATACACGTAAATAAAATATTTTTTATTATCTATTGATGAAAAAATTTTCTCTAACTAAAAATCCTAAAAACAAACAAAACACACTTTTCTCGTATTATTCCCTTATTTAAAATTTTTCGTTTTCGCACATGAACATTCAAATGTTTTCACTTTTGTGGTAACAGACGTTTTTATTTCAATCATTCATAAAGAACAACTTTTTCTAAAGAACAATTTCAACCTCAACAAATCATTTAACCAGTTTAGGCCTAGCAACCTCACTCTTCAATCATTCATTTTTTCCACCAGTAAAAATAATATTAAAAAAAAATCAACTTTACCCTACTTCTCAAACAAACAAATTAACACATGCACAGTCGCACACAATCTTTTTCTTTATATGCATATTGACAATATTATATAAACACGTGCCCCTTTTACCGCGGTACCTCCTCCGCGGATACAATTTATTTTAAGAAAATTATTATATAAATGTATTTTCCTTTTGTCTCATTTCCAATATTATTTTCCTTTTTTCATCGCATTATCTATAATTTATTATTATTATTTTTTTTTTACTTTTCATCTCTGTCTATTTCCACCTGAATTCATCTCAAAATGATAGGGGGGTAATCATCGGTCAAATATGATTGATTTTAGAATGATACAATCCTAACCAATATAATTCATAGTTTGTATTAATTCGACTCAAACATGATCAAATGACTTGTCGATTTAGACGGATTTTAATTTGAGTAGGTCTCGATTTTATTAAACGGATAGAGATATATTGAACTTTTAATCATTTAATTGGTGTAAATAAAACTTTTATTTAATTTATTATCTATTTCTTTTCAATTCTTGTATCCTTTTTTATACATTCAATTATCCAAATATTATTTAGGTCGTCTAGAGTGGAAATGCATAAAATTATTCAAGTTTCAAATAATTTAAATATTATATTAAATTATTTAGGTATATGATATAAATAAAAAATATTACAAACTACACCCTTACCTAGAGGATTTTGTACATCAACAACAAAGATTAAAGATGACTCAAAATAAACTTTATTTTTAGATCTAAATTATAATTATTTTGATTTTGATTTTGTTTAGAGAGTTGAATTTAGATATCAATGAGTTCAAAAACTCAAATTCAAAGGCAACTGAAATTAATCATTTTAAATCGTATTTTTAATTCACCTATATTAATAACTCGTTCGAATTCATCTATTTACCTTTTTTTTTATTTTTTTATTTGGAGTTGGATTTCGAAATTGGTATTCACCCTTACAAAATGAGATGTAATATTGTACACTGCTCTTTATTTTTATTTTTTAAAATAGATATATCTCTTTCTTAAGTTGACATATTGAACATCAAATTCCAATATTTAGTTAAGTAGAGCAGCCCGTGTTAACAATTTTTTATTATTTTATTTTACTTTACTTTTACTATAAAGTATATTTAGATGAGCATATTTTGTATTAAAATTAAAGTTAAGAAAAATGAAGTATGAATGCATGATATTAATCGGTATTGGTGAGTATTTATTTACCTGTTCACCCATAGGTATGGCAACCTGGCAGTCACACGTACTTCTTGCCGTGACGCAATGCACGCGCCACTTTCCGGTGACCGTTACGAACGCCGTGTCCAAGGAGCACTCCACTTCCATGCCAACTCCGAGAACCTGAAGCGGAATCAGCGCCGGAGGATCGCACTCGCCCAGCACGTACGGCTGGTAGCTTCGAATGTCCGGGTTCTCCACTTTCTCCGGATCCGATATCACCGCGTAGCACATCGGCGCCGTCGGAAGGAATCCCTCCGCTGACCTTTCCATCGCCGTCGCCGGCGACGGAGCCATTCCTTTCCCGTAGTAGACTCGCTTGGAGAGGTTCAGTCCGAATTCGACGGAGCTGGAAAAACAGTCGGCCATCGCCGCTGAGAGAATTTAGAGAGAGAGAGAGAGAGAGGTTTTTGATGGGAGAAGACGAGGGTTTGCGAAGTGGCACTAAAAAGGAACGTTATGCAAAGAAGACGAAGAAGAAGAAAGAGGAAAAGGTAGCTCTACTCTACCCACGAGTCCTGGCAACCGCACTGGACCCGCGAACCAAATTTTCTTTTATTCTTTTCTTTTTTCTCCTTAATATTAACATTATCTAAATATAATAATAAAATAAAATTAAAAAAAAATAGCCGTCAATAATTATGGTGTTAATAGCAATAACCATGTGACACGTCACTGACAAAAGCCTTATTGTTGGAACAAGATAACATCCTGAACTAATGAATGGTTTACATTTCATCATAGAGTTAATTTGATAGCATAAATATATAGATTAATTTATTATATATAACGTGAGAAAAAAAATATTTTCATGCGAAAAATTAAATAAATAAATAAATAATTTTTTTCTTTTGGTCCTTAAAGTATTCAGAGTCGATATCAGATTAATCTCCTCGTTATATTTCTCATAGTGCATATACAAAATAGAATTCGAAACCTTAACCTCAAGGACGGAGCCAAGGGGGGACCTACGGGTGCCACGGCCCCCCCAACAATTTTAATTTTTTTTATATTTTTTTTTATATGCTTTTGATACTTTAATTTTCATTTATTATAAATTATATATTATTTATTCTCGGCCCCCCAGTATTGAAATCCTGGCTCCGTCCCTGCTTAACCTTACTTAAACATGAATCAAATTCTACTACTAAACTACAAGCCTGGGTTATAAACAGTATATAATGTAGCAACAGTGTAAAACAGAAGAAGAGTACGTTGAAGTGGATTTATTTCTTTGAAACGAAGAAGAGTTGTTACCGCAACAAAGGAAACCGCTAACGACAAAGTAAACTCTGTTTGAAATGGACAAACGTGATTGGAAAGCAACATGAAAATCCTTTAATTACTGCAGTACAGTATTTTACTACCATAACTGAAGTTACTCTTCTGCATGAGTAGATTATTTACTTTTATATTAAATAACATATAATTAAAATTATCAAGAAAATACTTTTAGTGTGCTGTGTGCATCTCTTTTCATTACAAATAAACATGAGAGTGATGAGACAGGAAATTATACAAATGTACAATTTATTACTAATAATGATTATTTTAAAAAAAATGAATTTGATACGTTCTATAGTTAAACATAAAATATAAAGGAAAATGCTTAATTAATCCTCCAGAAGTTATAATCCGAAAAATTCTCTAAATGTTTAGAGTTGTATTTGTGTAGATTGATTTAACCTAAAAAAATTAATTTAATATTAGTTATTTTAAACTTTGAAGATAAATCAACATGTATGATTCCAACGTCCTAACATTTCTCACATATAAAATATCACTTAAATATAGTTGTTATTTTTTTATTCATTGAAATTAAAATGATTATACTAGAACCCTAATAATATATTCTAATACATTTAATCAGTACATTGGTGGGGTTAGTTAAAGATTATAATGAAGTCAGATCGCAATATCAAACTTGAAAATGATATACTTATCTTTATCAAAAGAAAAATAACAAAACGCCTACCACGTGCATCATGTTGAATCAGAGAATTTTTTAAGAATAAATAAATGCATGATAAAAAAATAATCAGAATCTCTAATTTGCTTCTTTTAGAGGAAGTTCACTAAGGTCGTAGTCCTTTTGTTCTTCTTAGATATTAAATTTGCATAAATTATTATTTAAATAGACATTAAGTCAAGAAATTATTTAAGCGATGGTCCCCCTCGTCCTCAGCTTTTTTTATGCTCAGTCACAAGAAGCCAAGCATAATCATATGCTAAACTTTTATTAAAAGATAAGCTAAGGATCACCATATATTTTCTTTAACATATGCTTCATAATTAATTTTGTTTAGGGCTGAAAAACAGAGTGGCCATGCTAGCTGTGTGCGTATATACTATTCGTGATTGAAGGCCCTAGTAAATTAGTAATTAAATAAAGTACTTTGGTAACTATATATATGCAAAAGCCTAAACTCAAATTAAGTCTCTCTTTTATGAATAATAATATAGCAGGGGGGAAACAGAAATTATGATAAACTTCCTTTTAAAAAAAGAAAAAAAGTTATGTCCTTACAACATAAAATAATTTTACAAAATTATAATATAATATCACAAACTATCATTTATGATAAATTTGTCAACTTTTACAATAAGTACCTTAAAAATTATATTAATAATAATTTTTTAATTGTTTGACTAAAAATTTATGTGGGTGAATGACTATTAAATTTTTAAAAGAAATGATTTTTTATTTTCTAATTAGAATGCATGCAATGGATCATAGGGCAGGAAAAGATCATGTGGGTGGAGTTTTGACATGTAATGTAATCATATTATGAAACGTACTTAATTAATTAGTGTGAACAGAATTCAAAGTGATATCAGAAATTAGGGGATTGATTAGTCAAAAGTGGAAACATTTGCATTTAAGTGGAGCCATTATTGTTTGGTTATGAGTGTGAAGTTCTTCTCTGAATGTATGGTACATTGTTTCTGGCATTGGAAGGAAAATGAAAGCGATGCAACTAAATCACGTATATATATTACCAGGGTGGTCCCCTATCATATTAGTATGGTCCCTGCATACGAGTATCTTTCATCATCCTATAATGTCGAGGCCAAAGGTAACATATACAACAATTCAATATATACGTTAGAAAAATACTTTACGTTGTCATTTAAATAAAACTACTAAGAAGAAAGAACTTTATCACTCATAATAATTATATTCGACGTCAAGATAATTGATTTCAGGTAATAAACGAATAAATGTTTTCTATAAAAATAAAATTCAAGACTTTTGTCCTTTCCATTCTTGCTCTAAATTGGGTGTTGATATATTCAATTAATAGTTTAATTGGTAGTGATTGAGAATTATAATTGTAATATACAAACTATATTTTCCGTTGGAGAGGCTTTTTAATAATATAATTTAGAGATAAACCTCCCTTGATTTTTTTAAATATAATAAGTGTTATATCAAATTATCAATATAACTTTGGATAAATTATATTTTGGTCTTTTATTTTATTTATTAGATTTATTTTATTTTTTTATCTATTAAAATGTTTATTAATTTATTCCTTTTAAAATAACAATAATTTGTAATTTTGCAACACAATTTTGAATCAATTTTTGATTAATTTGATATGTAAAACTTGTAACAATAGATTCAACTGTATAAAAATTATAAAACTCAATTAATGTTTAAATTCATAAAAGCTATAATATAATTGAAAATCATGTAAAATATATGTCTAAAAACAACTAGAAAATATATAATATGAAATTATAGATTTTGAAATTCGAATTGTCTTTTGGACTTATTCTTATACAATTTTTATCATGTTTATAATAATTTTTTATTTAAACTTTAATTGTATTTAATAGTTTTCACATAAATAAGATTAATAAGACGAATTTCAAATTTTAAATCAAGAAAAAAATAATCTAAAATCATGTCTAAAATTAGAAACAATGACCATTATTTTTAATAAAGGATCAAATTGATTCAAATTTAAAAGATAAATAATTATAATAAACATTTTAAAAAATAAATGACTAATAAAATGAATATAACAAATAAAATAATAAATCAAAAGAATAATTTGTTCTATAACTTTTTGATAATAAGTATTTTTGAATCATCTTTTGACAACAATTTTTATATAAAATTTTCCTCTTTAAAGAAACAATTTAATTACACAAAAGCGATATTAAAAAAATTGATTTTTCAAATTTTGACTTTAAAAAATGGTTTAATGAATTTATTATTCGAGTTAAATTAACATGTATCATTTAGGTGGTGAAAATTGTGTTCACTCTATAATTTAGAATTTTGTTCTTCACAAGGATATATAACGGCATAAAGTTGCATTGCAACAAAATTAATTACCATGCAAATTGTGAAATATATTAGGTTGGAAAGATTTCCAGTTTTATTTTGTGAGTAAAGAGAAAGAGACTCTTTAGAAGGCAGTAGCCGTATGAATAGGTGCAACAAATTAATAACATTATTTATAGAATGTATACAAAAAACTTTTTTTGCCAGCATATAGCATGTATTCAATGTTTCTGTATATCATATCATATTATATATATATATATATATATATATATATATATAAAGAAATTCAATACAAATCACAAATTTTATGAGTCTCTTGTATTTTTTAATAAATATTTTATGATTTTTTTGTATTATTTAATGATTTTCTCTCTTAATTTAATTATAAGACCTACAAAAATTTGTGATTGTATGTATGTTAATTTTATCTTATAAACTTTTTTTTCTAGGAAAATTAAGTAAATATATATCAATAAGAGTGTCATTTAAAAAATTGTGAGAATTAAATTATTTTAATAATAATTATTATAATTATTATTATTATTGATTATAATTAGAATAAATTTTTGTTTGGATATTTTTTGGAAATTGATTTTCAAATATTTAGATAGTTCCATTTGGATACAACCAAAAATTAACTTTAATATAATAAAACAGTTTTAAGAGAAAAAATTATTAAAAAAATATCATAAATTTTAAATTTTCACATTTATAAAAATGACTTATTTTTCCAGAGACAAAAAACTGTAATTGCATATTTTGACGGATTATCTCAAAAAACCGACTTATTTCACAGACAAGTTTTTTTTTTCCCAAACAAAAGCTAAAATTTATGGAAAAAAATGTTTTACATACACACTTAAATCTAAAAAAATTTAAAAAAAATACTAATCATTTAATGATGTTAATTAGTAGGCTAGGGCAAGTACAGGTTAATAGTTACAACTATTTACGCACTTGTTTCATCATCAAATTTCAATGGCGAACTATGAAATTTAATTTTGAACATCGTGAAATCTTGGCAATAGTTAGTTACTAGTCATTCGATATTTGATGGTATTAAATAGTAGGCTAGGCCTAGTAAAGAGATTTTTATTTTAAATCCAAGGAAAGAGATGTTTTTCTCGTGATTTCATAAGAAAGACTGATCCTCGTCATATGATATTACAAATAAGATTTTTTTACACAATTAATTCATATATTTCATCACAAATTTGAAGTAATTCTTATAAATTGAGGAAAGTGATTTCAAGCATGGAATGCAGTGGTAATTATTGATTAGAAACTTAATTATTAAAATTTATGATAAAATAAAAGTTAAAATTAATTATAATATTAACTATTAATTTTTTTAATAAATAGCTATTATTGTGCTTTATTCTTTAAAGTACAATTATCTCATTTTAAAATAATTAGATCCAATTTTAAGGTGTGACCTTTCCTTATTTTTTTAAAAAATAACTTTTGAATAATGTTTAGAGTGTGTTTTGTTAGACATTAGATAACTTATAAGTTATTTCACTCTTTGTTTTTGGTAGAATTTGATTTCATTAATTAAATACAAATAACCTATTGTGTATTTTAGTAAGGCTCATAATCCTTTAAAATTGTGTTGATTCTTTTTGTTTGGACTAATAATTTATTGGTTTTTAATTTTAAATAAAGTAAAAAAGAGAGAGATTTTGCATAAATATAAAATAGTAAGAGTTTAGAGAAAAATTTGAGATTAAGAAATGAGAAAATTAAGTTTGGAGAAGAAATAAAGATTAAGAAGTGAAAAGTTAAGTTAGGAGAAGAACAAGTAGAGATAAAAAAAATTGACAACAAATATAAATTATTAGAAAAGAGATAATGGTTGGTCATTAATCCATGGTTGGCACTTGTAAACATCTTACGTATTTTAAATTCCAACAACACTCACGGATTAATGAGGTACTACAATATTACCAATCACCATTTCCTTTATAATAATTTATATTTGTTTTCATTCTCTTTCTCTTTATTTATTTTTTTCCAAACCTAACTTATCACTTCTTGATTTTCATTTCTTCTCTAAATCATTAAAAAGGAAATAATGGTTAGTAACATCATAGTAACTCGTGATTCATGTTTGAAACTTGTAAACACCTACATATCTTAAGTTTCAATGATATTTACGGATTAACGAGTTAAGATAATGTTAATAATCACCATTTTCTTTCTAATAATTTAGATTTGTTTTCAATCTTTTTCTCCAATTACTTATTATTCTCAAAACTTAACTTTTCACTTGTTAATTTTCATTTCTTTTCTAAACTTAATATTTTTTACTTTTTGATTTTAATTTTTTCTCCAAATTCTTACTATTTTACATTTATACAAAATCTCTCTCTCTCCCCCCCTCTCTACTTTATTTTAAGTTGAAAACCAATAAAAAAAGATCCACATGATTTTAGAAGATTTCGAGTCCTACTTAAATAAATTTTTTGTATTTAATTATCTTAATCAAATTTCACCATAATAAACACTCTTATAAATTAATTTAATTAAAATAAAAAATATTTAATATGTCATTTTAGTTTAATTACTTTTAACTTATTTTCATAAACTACTTCAAGTAATTTATAGCTTATAAATACGAGAGACTTCACACAAAATAATATATTAATTTTGTAACAGCCCAAGCAACCCGCATGAGGATATTGTCTGTGACAAAATTTAATTTTTTCTGATGAATCAGGAAAACTAGCTTGTCTTTCTCTGAAACCGGACAAGGGTGTTCCACTCTTTAAGGATACGTTTGATGGGTCTTCTGAAATTTCAAGTTTGCTGCATTGCTCAAAGTGTAAGGTATGATGGAGAGTCACGGCATTCTTTCCGCTGTGCGCTTTGGTCTATGTACTTGTTAGTTTTTACTGTGAATGTGTACATTAATTGTCAAATATGGAAGTTTTTGAAATAATTGTGTTGTTAAATGTTTAAGATTTATGATCTCTTGTTTGGAAAAATCTACAACAGTGGATACTGTTTTGTGCACTAAATTTTTCTTCTTCTTTTTTTTGTCACTTCTGTATATTGGGATAATGCTTCTGACTCTACATTTTCTTAAGTTTTAGTTTCTATTCTCTTTTGACATCTTTCCCTTGAACTTCTGATTGAAATTGTTTGCCTTCTCAGGAAGATATGCACCAAAGGTTCCCGTCACTGATATTTGTGGCTAGCAACATTTTGATGTTCTCCATGCCTAATACAGCTTTGGCTGAAACGTGTGAAACTGATAACTCTGTTTTCAATATGCCTGTACTGCTGGAAGTAGCTCTCATTGGAGCATATTTTTATGCAAATGATAGCATATTTGTTGTTACATATTACAAGATATTCCTTCTTTTATTTGTTGCCTTAGTTCATATGTTATATGATAAAGGACTGGTATATTAATACTGCTGAAAGATAATTTTGCACAACTAGAAATCTTAAAATACATCAGTTTTTTTTAGGATAAGCTACATGAAACTTAGAGGTAAAGAGATTTAACCATGTGTGAAGCATGAATACCTCTTGAAAGCTCATTGTGTGTACCTGTTGTCTTCAAGGTTTCTCGTATATTATAAAATACGGGACCTTTTATTTATCACAAAGGGACACTGATCATATATGCAGAAACATTTTTAATCAAAAAAAGAAGAAAGAAGAGGGAG